CGGCAGGGGGTTGTATATCGATTGTAATCTAGGGGATTACTATCGATATATAGCACCTTTTAAATTTTGCTGATGTAGTTCAAGAACATTTAGGTAAAATAAGAAGAAAATCACCGACATACACAATTAATGAGTAGATGAATACACAAACACAACAGCTCGAAAAAGTATTTGATCGCTATATAATAATATGTAAAATTTCTAGTCTATTGAAAAATTAGCGAACTCTCTTTTATAATTGGTACTATCAAGAAAGTTCTATTATTCAATTTCCACTTAGATTACAGGATATTTATCCACCTGAACATAACTTTGATAAAAAAGAACTACAAGCATGGCAAGCAATATTTATTGCTTGTGGGTATATAAATGTAATACCCATTTCAAAAAAAGAATTATCTATAGAATTTTTGAGCAAAGCATTAAATCCTATTGCTGACAAAGAATTATTAAAAAATTTTTATGAAAATAATATCATACAGTTAGATAAAAATATTTCAACACCTATACTAGTTCAACAACCAAATCCACAAGATGAAATATTTTAGAATTGCTTCAGAGATACATTACTTTTAAACAAGAGAGAACCAGATAGTAAAATTTGTATCTTTTCAATCGCTTTAAAATTTAAATACAAAATTCTTATGAAAGAATTAGGTGTAAGTAATTGTAATATAATAGTTCAATAAAACATTTTTTATTTAAAAGTCAAATATTTTAAAGGTTTTAGTTTCTTCAACTAAAATCTTTAAAATCTACAATTTAAATCTTAGATGCGTTGAATCTTCTGAAACTATTCAAATCAGATTTCATTACTTTCAGATAAATCTGATTTGATGGTCTTTGGCAATTTTTAATTATAACAATATTTTTGCAATTAGGTTAGGTCAGAAACCATAAATAAGGCTAGAAAACATGCTCAACTTTATAGCCCGGGTACACCACTCTTGCAAAAACTCAAAAAAACTATTCAATATTTATTTAAAATTCAAAAAAACCAATTCTTGTTATTCTTCCAAGACCGTGAAAATGTTACAATAAGCTTATATCTTGTGGATCTAGTGACACAATTACTGATTCTATATTTGCATAACCAAAAAAATAGCTTATAGAATAAGTTTAGTGAAATTTATCCAGATGGCATGAAAAGAACTACTTTTATAGCATAGCTAAAAGATTCTATGAACCTTAAATATTGTAAAGATCTTGGTAGGTTATGCATAATCTGCAATGATTATAATTACAAAACTTTTAAAAATTTTGAAAATATTATACGAAATAATTCTAAATATAAAAATAAAATGGTTAGTTTATATATTTGTCATTTTTGATATAAAATAATAAGGGTATATTTATTACTCACCTGGGGTGAGATTTGATATTGCTCACCCCCTATAACAAAATTTGAAAAAATGTGAATATCTCAAAATTTTACTAAGGTAACCTGTTATATAACATAAGCAAAAATGTTTTTTTCGCAATTTTACTTTAAGCTAACCCTAATTCTAACTCTAATTTTAACTCTAACATATTAATATGACCAGGTTTCCTTTGGTACTTAAGGTGGTAAATAACTTATCTAGGTGTTAAATAAATTATTTCAAATAATAATTATTATTTCTAATATACAATTATCTTATTAAATAGTTTTATTAGTCTAAACTTATAAACCGTCTCAAAAATCTTAAACTATATATGAAATAAGGTTATACAAGAGAATTGAAAGTCGGAGCAGATGGTAAAACTAAGCATGATTCATGTATTTTCCACTGTTTACCTTATGCTTTGGTGAATGTATTAACAACCATGAATCAAGATGCTCCAATTGCGATCAATTGTTCGACTTTCTAAAAATTATGTATAAATTAGTATCTTCTGATGATTCAGAAGCAATAAGAGTGCACAAAGAACAAATAACAGAGTATAAAGAATTATTTTTTACACCAAACATGAAAAGTATACTTAAATGCTTAATTTAAGACAATATTAGCTAAGCTTGATCCTAATAGTACACTGTTTATCGCAGACTATAAGATGCATATATTACTTCAATTCGCACACGAAACAAAAAAAGAGTTCTTTGAAAAATGTGGCTGAACTTTATATATCATTTTGGTTTATATCAAAAAAAATAAACTGGAAGTAGATATTAAGGTGTATAATTATTGGTCAATGGATACCAAGCAAGATGCTTGGTTTATAGTATTATCATTTGATGTTGTTTTTGAGACAATAGATAAAAACCCCAAATAGATAAAGGTAATATCTGATAATAGACCTCATTACTATAACATTAAATTAATAGCTATAATCAAATACTGGCACAAATGGTATGATATTGAAGTTCATAGCTGGCTATTTCTAGAACCTAAAGAGGCAAAGATAACTGTCGATTCACATCATGCAACAGTTAGTATTTTTTTTCTTTTTCTTTTGGGATATCAACAAACTTATGAATTTAATTATAAAAGCAATATCAATAATTCAGATTTATATTATAACAAATATCTGTAATTGTATAACAATCATGAATGTTCTTTATAATTATCATGCTTATTATACTTTCTTTTTTTTCTTTCTTTTATTTCTCAAAAATACCACTTTTAATATCTGGCTTTCTATAATATATTCTAAATATAACTATTTTTTTAAAAGATAACCCATGCTATATAGCAATATTTACAAATTGGATACAATATAGAAACAGGACACAATATTTGTGAGGTAGTTAAAAATTTGGCTGGAACTTCAATAGCAAACATTGAACCAAACCGTAATGACTGTGCAGCTATTGAAGAAAATATTAGTGAAGATATAAAATCAAAAAAACCAAAAACTAAAATCAAAACAATTAAAGGAATTTTGAAACTATTTTTTTGGGAATAGCCTGTAAAAGGAAGTTATAATAGATATATTCGTGTACAATCATTGCCTCATATTAGAAAATGAAATAAATTTTCTCCATTATATTTAAATAAACTTTGGAATACTTTACTTTATTGGCTACAACTAGAGCATACAATACCAGAATCTATATAGACAATTCCAATAAATACGAAACCCAGTAAATATTACATTTGTTTAAACAAATTCTTGAATTCAAATCTAAATTATTATATTTAACTTACTCTAGTTGAAGATAATAGTGAAGGTATAAACATGTTTATATAATATTAATTTTATATTTTAAAAATTAGTTCTAATTATTTGAAATTAAAAGATGATATAGATTTAGACCAAAATGAAAAAAGTGAAAATGTAACAAATTATAGTAAGTAATAATAGCTTTAGTGTATATATACACTATACCTTTCTACTTTTCATTCAAATATTCAACCAATTTATTTAGATCTGATAGTTATAATCGCAATTCCAAAGTATATAGTTGTAAGAAATCTTATATCATATTTGTTTTGTTTGCTAATTGGCTTTTTAGTAAGGTAGATATAGGATTTCTGTTACTTAAAGGGTGGGTGTTTAAGGGTAACCAAAAATTAGATAACAGAGGTGGTACTAAAATAAAGAAAAATGTAAAAGCTATGTTATAGTGCTTCTTTTTAAACAGCAATCAAAGTAACGAAAAAATGAATTCACAAGCTATGCGCAAAGAACTCTTGAAATATATTAAAATCAGTGATATAGAAAAGGATGATGTTCTGAAAACCCATACTATACAAAATTGGATAAGTTCATATGCTCATGTTTTTAAGAAAAAAGCAACGATTTCTTACCAGAACTATTTGTATTAATTAAAAAAGAATAAAAATTTAATGTTACAAAACTATATCCATTTAATATATTTTATAATTTAAAATTAAATATAATTAAGCGGACTACTTAAATAGGCAACCAAAAGTTGTACGTGTGACTAGTATGTACTCTCCAAATATGTATACGAGATGCTATAAACGCATATTATAAAAGTTAACTATAACCGAATAAAAGGAGCCGGCCAAGAGCCCACCTTAACACCAAAAAAAAAAAAAAAAAAAATTAAATATAATTGTAAAATTCATCTTTAGTAAATTAAATATATCAAATATGTACTTATTTTAATAATTATTCATAAAATTTTGTCATCAAGCCTATTTGATTACTTTCTTTTGTCTTAGTTTGTCCTATTATTATAAAAGTGTATATATACTGTAAGGCTGAATCTAATACATTCTAAAACCTAATAGATCCTGGATATAGTACATGAAAAGAAAAGAAAAATTTAAAATGCATATATATTTGGTATTTATAATAAGCAGTCTAGCTATTTGAAAAAATCTATATTTGATAAATAGAGATCTATAGTTGTAAGATAAAACCTAGAAGTTTCTCTATGTATAAAAAAAAAAGAAAAAAAATCAAAACTGAAATGTGTACCACCAAAGAAAATCTTGATCTAGAAATTATAGTTTATTATTTGGCGAACTTAGTTCTAGAAAATCACTAGCAATTCATTAGCGATAATAGTTCTTTGGTACAAAAGAAGTAATTATCGATATGATGGCTAATTGTATAATCAAGACACATAACCCAAAATGATTGATAAATTACTGCTAATTTTTCAGCCCAAGTTCGCCAAATAATAAACTATAATTTCCAGATTGAAGTTTTTTCTTGGCGCTACTAATATAGTGAAATTTGTGAAAAGTGATGAAATTAACAAAACTAATGAAATTGATAATGTTACAGTACCGTGGCCTTCTTAACAGCAGTACTATAACAATGACACGGCTACAAAGATCCTTCACAGGTTTATAGCAGTGTCCAACAGGTAAATATAATTTCTACTACAACTAGAAACTATACTCTTCTGTCTGTGGCAGTTCGGGCAGACAATAGTTTATGGATAAAAT